TCACATTAAACGATAAGATCATAATTTAAGTGCTTTTTCACATCATGGCAATTGGCTCAATACAGTAAATCAGATATACAGTGTATGATAGGATACATATCTCGATACAGTGCACTTTCGATTCGATACGATATATTTCAGATGGATTTGATGCGGTTCAATAAAAAAATAAAGGCTAAATCACTAAATCTTGGCTGTAAAAGTCTTTGTTAAACCACTTCTAGAGCCAAGTTCATATAAAACACAAACATTTTAATCATCAAAACAGGGAATATGTCAAATGTGTTGCATAAAAGAGTTTCCTTCCTTTAAACAAGCACCAAAACTGTAGTGCTGTAACAAATAATTTAGCAAAATATACCCCAAAATACTCTTGGCGATATATTGATACAGCAGCCCTACACTTGAGGCTACTTTACTGACAACATGTAAAACTTTTAAGTCAGCAATAGCCTATTTATAACTTTCTCCCTGACTTTACCATAGTACCCAAGTTTGTCCCATATGTCTAGTCTGGCTTTAACCTTTACATCAGTGCGTCGTCTGTGCTCTTGTTTTCTCCCTGTCTGTCAGCATCCTGTCACACACACACAACACACACACACCACACACACAACGCTCTCCGCCAGTCTATCATAATTAGAGAGCAAAAAGACAAGTGGTGTCAAGATAGGCCATGTGTGAACCGGCTGGCATTTCAAACTAGCACGAAACGCGCGCTGGGAGTTTACACTGAAGATACCATTTAGAAGTACAGGCGCCGTACTGTTATGGCACCCTGTGGAGACTTAAAGGTGGACCGTGGAACTTTACCGGTGTGGTTTGGCATGGAGATAGAGCTGCTTTGTCATATATCACCGTATCGGAAATGATCTGGCTCCAGGCATGTCGTTTCTGTGTCCGCAAGCCTATTCACGCAGCTTTGCATATATTTGTTTATGTTTTACAGAAACAAAACTTAAAACCGCATTTGCATAAACTAAGCGCTCAAAAAACAGCTCGCTCCTTGTGCGCTGATGCGGTTCAGCTTCTGTCGGACTAAAGGACACAACAGAGAGTTTCTTTAATCACATTTTAGCAGAATACTTTTGAATGAACGCCAACTTTATTGTCTAACATCTTATAACCTCTGAGTTCACTTTGTTTCCAGCCTAACTATAGACTACGGTAACAAAGACACCAACAAGGAGAAAGTCCAGAGCAGAGCATATTTTAAACAGACTTTGAGCTCTGTAATGTGCTTTGGGGAACGCCTCGTACTCCAGAAACACCTCTTAAATCCTCACTGCGCTGATATCCCATTTGAAGACTGTGAGTGTAGTGGAATATGGGTGTTCTTTCTGTGACAGAGGGATGTTCTGCTGATGTTGAGTCTGTTCTGTGCTTCTATCGCGTTGGAGATGGTTCATGTGAAACTTTTAACAGATTATACGTCTGCAGGTCGTACACACTGACCGTATATATGAACGGTAAGACCTACATCAACGTATCATTGTATCAGCGTTTTCAGGCGTCCACACAGTGCCGGATCAGATCTGTACTCAGATGAATTTGTGGGAGCTGGCAGCACTAGATTGTTCCGTCTCTGGAGCCGTTTTCAGTTGGATTAGTGTGGATGAACACTGCATCCATGACGAAAATGACTCGAATATGTACTAGTGTGGACGGGACCTTTGATAGGTCTTACCGTATTTTACATGCTAAGAGGTGCTCTGTATTATAAGACACACCGTCATTAAATGGTCTATTTTTGAACTTTTTTCACAAATAAACCGCACTGGACTTTAAACGAAACTCAACAGTTCGATGGGTCAGTCGGACTTTGTTTGTGGCGTTCACGGTGACTCTGGGCTTTGTTCAGTTGTGGCGTGTAGGGAGGGTGCTGTCTGGGACCGCTGGATTGTCGTCGTGTTCGCAGTGACTCAGTTGTTCAGTTCGTGTCTAGAAGTGGCACATTGGACTCGCTTTTTTCGGTTCGTTCCTCCGTTCCGTTCCTCGTCCTCGTGGAGTGATGAGTGTGTCTGTGGGTGTGTTTCGCTGTGCGGTCGCTGTCTGCTCCGTGTGTGTTTGCGTGCGCTGCGGGTGGTGCGGCTTTGTAGTTTACTGAAGTCGTGCTGGGACACCCGAGTGGATTCGTGTATAGGGCGCTCTGGATTGTGGGGCGTGCGGTCGTTTTTTGATGTGGTTGGAGACTTAAGAGCATGGAAAATATGGTTGATTTTTTTCAATTACAGGTGTTATGGCTAAACTATACCTTGAAATACTTGCATTCTTCATGTGAGTGTAGTCGCCTCTTCACAGATCTGACTTTTATCTTGTTTGTTATCGTGAAAAGACATAAGTTTAACACCATACCGTGGAACATTCTACAACAGAGCAATTACCCGGGTTCAGCTTCCTGTAGTGCGGTGCCATTTTGAGGACAGTTGACCTTTCAAAAGAAATTATAATTTGTTTCGCATTGTCAATCGCTATGGCAACGGTCCTAACGTTTCATCATTCTGAAACCCAGGCATATCCGTCTGGATGGAGACGAGCAGATGGCAGACGACCCTCCACCAGAAAAGTTATATCGTGCACCTTGAATCAGAGAGATACATGTGCGAGTAGTAGAGGAGAGGGTGAGGGAGGCTGTTGGTTTTGCTGCTGCGGTTCAAGACTGAATGGAGGATGGTAGTGACTTATTGGCGAAAAAGTTGAACTATGCAATCTTGTTTTAACTACTTTTATTTACTTAACTTGGTCTAGATCTTTTGACTTTGAGCGCAATTTATCCCCTGTCTTCCCACTTATTTTTATATAATTTAAGTACTAGATTGGCCAAAAGCTTGTAAGAAAGAACAAAACAAAAAACATACAAATTAATCTTGTTTTTAACTAGTTTTATTTATATAACTTGGTGTAGATCTTTTAACTTTGAGTGCACTTTATCCCCTGTATTCCCACTGATTTTGATATAATTTAAGTACTAGATTCGTCAATAGTTAAGAAGAAAAAAAAAACAAAAAACATATAAATTAATCTTGTTTTAACTAGTTTTATTGACTTAACTTGGTCTAGACCTAGATCTCTTTATATTCCCATTGGTTTTGATATAATTTAAGTACTGGATCGATCAATAGTTTGGAAAAAAAACAAAACAAATAAAAACGTACAAATCAATCTTAACTAGTTTTATTAACTTAATTTGGTCTAGATCTTTCAGCGCACTTTGAACCCAGTATTCACACAGTATTCATTTTGACATAATTTAAGTACTAAGGCCAGTAGGTAAGAATAAAAAAAACAAAACAAACAAAAACCTACAAATTAATCTTATTTTAACTCATTTTATTTATGTAACTTGGTCTAGATCTTTTAACTTTCAGCACACTTTATCAGCAGTATTCTCTCAGATTTTGATATAATTTCAGTACTAGATTGGTCAATAGTTTAGAAGAAAAAACAACAACAAAAATCTTACAAATTAATCTTGTTTTATCTCCTTTTATTTGCTTAATTTAGTCTAAATCTTAACTTTCAGCGCACTCTTCCCTGTATTCCTTCTGAATTTGATGAAATTTAAGTACTAGACTGGTCAATAGTTTGGAAGAAAAAAATAAAACAAAAAACATAACAATCAATTTTGTTTTAACTAGTTTTATTTATGTAGCTTGGTCTAGATCTTTTTAACTTTCAGCCCCAGTATTTCCACTGATTTTTATAAAATTTAACTACTAAATTGAGCAATAGTTTGGAAGAAAAAACAACAAACAAACAAAAAAACAGTTAATGTTGTTTTAACCAGTTTTATTTACTTAACTTGGTCTAGATCTTTTAACTTTCAGTTGCAATTTATCCCTGTTTTCCCACTGATTTGGATATAATTTAAGTATTAGATTGGTCAATAGTTTGGAAGAAAAACAAAAAAACAAAACAAAAAACATACAAATCAGTCTTAACTAGTTTTATTTACTTAACTTGGTCTAGATCTTTTAACTTGCAATGCACTCTATTCCCTGTATTCCTACTGATTTTTGATCGAATTTAACTACTAGATTAGTCAATAGTTTGGAAGAAAAAACAGCAACAAAAAACTTACAAATCAATCTCGTTTTAACTAGTTTTATTTACTTAATTTGGTCTAGATCTTTTTAAGTTTCAGTGCACTCTATGCCCTGTATTCCCACTGATTTTGCTTTAATTTAAGTCAGTAGTTTGGAATTAAAAAACTAAATAAAACAAAACAAAAAACTTACAAATCAATCCACCCAGAAATACCTTCAAATAATTCAAAATATCTAGATTGACAATTAAAAAATTAAAATTAATCCCTTATAGAATTTTAGAATTTTATTTTATTTTTTTCAGAGCCCAACTTTGGCTTTTGTCTTGCGCAAATCCTCCACAACAATACACTCAATTTAAGTAATTTTAATTCGTGTACATCTTCAGATTTTTACAGTAAAGTTGGGACTGAAAGTGCATTTATCTGATGAATCTCTTAAGAGGTCTGAGAAGCAATGATCGACATGTCAGAGTATCAAATCTTCTGTCAGACTCTACGCTCACATTTCATCGTTTTTTTTGTTTTTTTTTTACGTTTTGTCCTTATTTGAACTGCCGCTCTTACTACACGGACTCATTACAACTCCTGCTAAATGAATGGGGTAATTTGTCCACCTGTATTAGCGCTGGAGTTCATGTCTAGCTTCAGAGTCTAGTGGAAAATGATTGTGGCTCAGGTTTAATGGAGTAGCTACAATGGACTATACAGAACTGGCGAGCTCCACAGCGCACCGCATCAATCCAATTTAGGCTTAATTGAATTGTTCAGGGCCCCCTCATCCATATATTTCTCTACAAGAATCTTATTACACAGCGACTCTGCCAAACTTTTAAATGTCTTGATGTTGATTGATTTTTCCTTTTTTTTTTTGGGAGATGAATTAGCCGTGATATAAAACGAGAGCTATGCAAACAGTCTAAAGTGGGTATTTGTTTTTGTTTTTTTCCTGCAGGATGTCAAGTCCACGTTCTTCCAGTTCGGGGCATCCATCCAGCAGGAGGCGCTGCTCATGCTGAACATCATGGAGGAGTACGACTGGCACATCTTTTCCATAGTGACGTCCAAGTACCCGGGCTATCAGGAGTTCATCAACATCCTCAAAACCACCGTGGATAACAGGTACGGAGAGTGGGTTTAAGTCGGTGTGAATTAAAATGTCTGCTCCACTGTGATAAAGGCACGAAAAATACCTCGTGTGTTTTTAGTTGTGATAGTTTTTAATAGAAAGTATTCATTAAAAAAGAAAAGAAAAGAAAGAAAAATAAAATGCATACAGATTTTCATACAGTTTCATGAACTAAATCTAAATTTTACTGTTTTAATCATGATTGAACTCTTGCAGACAGATGACAGATACAGTTTTTCTCATTCTCACTATTTGGACAGGCTCATTCCAAAAAAGTTAATTGTCAATTCTTCATTTGAAACATATGAAGAATCAAAATTGTTTCTCACTCCCAAATGTATAAGTAAATAATAATAAATGGAAATGTGAGGCTCATTCACCTTTCTTATTGGATTATTATTTTGAGAACCAAAACACCAAAGAAAAAAATTATTCAGCATTAGGCAAGGCAAGTTTATTTGTATAGCACAATTCGTACACAAAGTAATTCAAAGTGCTTTACAGAATAAGAAATACATTAAAATTACAATAAAAACAAATCAAAACATAATCCTAAAGATTAAAATTAAAGAAGAAGTTATCAGTATAAGATACAGTTCTGTCTGTATGGAGTAAAAGTTCAATCAAATTTATTTGTATAGCACAATTAAAACAGCCAAAGCTTACCAAACTGCTGAGCATTGAAATAAAACATATTTTAAGCAAATCAAACAGAATAATAATAATACAAATAATAATAACAGCAAGGTGCCAAGGTGTCTCTTCCTAACTCTGGGTAAATACCAAGGAGAAAAGGTGTGTTTTGAGCTGGGATTTAAAGTGCTCCAGTGACTGTGCAGGTCTAATGTGCAAAGGTAAAGTGTTCCACAGTCGTGGACCGACCACAGAGAAGGTCCCATCTCCTCTGGTCCTCAGCCTGGTCCTGGAAACAACCAGGAGGTGCTGGTCTGCAGAGCGCAGACCTCTGTGTGGGACATGTGGCTGAAGGAGTTCAAATAAATAGGAAAGTGCTGTGCCATTAAGACTCTTAAAAACAATCATTAAAGTTAAAAATGGATTCTAAACAGAGATTCTAAACAGGGAGCCAGTGCAGGGATTTAAGAATAGGAGTGATGTGGTCAATCTGCTTCTTTCCAGTTAAAAGGCGAGCTGCTGCATTCTGGACCCTGTAGGCGTCTGAGCTGGGCCTGGTCAATCCCAGCATACAAAGAGTTACAGTAGTCAAGTCGCGAGGTCACAAATGCATGAATGGCTTGATTTAAGAACAGAGCTTACTAAAATGATCAATAAATCAGACAAGGACTGAGCTATGAATAATAATCCTTGAACAGGTGCATGATTCTGTGCACAACTGAAGCCATTTTCTCTTGTTCCATCAGGTGTCCAAAATCTATTAGCATATCCATTCTTGTGGAAGGTTTTAGAGTTATTAAGCAAAGGTTTAGGGCATTGTTAAATGCGGCGTAGCAATCAGCAATTAGCCAATAAACTACTATTAAGGTAAAGAGTGGAAGGTGTGTTAAAAGAGCAACCATTAAAAAAATCACTTATAGGTTTTACTTGCAGTGCCCTCTGTTAAGCTGATGAAAACGCCGAGTGCCTCTGTAATGTTGTGTCTGTTAAGTTGATAAAAACACTTCTAGACTTTATTTGTTATAATATTAGAAAGCCACAAATCAAAGTGCAGTGTTTTATTTGGGATGGGCTCTCACGGTCACTTACATTCAGTTTTATTTTTTACTGCAGTGAAATATAAGGTAAAGAATAATGGTAGAAGATAGTCATTTTTATTTTTTTGGAAAAAATAGAAAAATAAACGGTCAGTAAAGGTACTTGGTTTATGTTTTCTTGGCCTATTTTTTTTTAGAGTAGAATGAGAAAGAAACTTGGACAAAAACATCACTTTGGAAGGTCAACAAAACACTTTTTTTTTACCAGCAAACAACAATTTTCATTCGATTTGAAGCAATTTAGAACATTAGATAAAACCAGAAAACTATTTTGCAAAACACATTATTGTTAACATAATTATTATGAATTAATTTGCTCCATTTGACGTCCCTTCCATTAACCAAGTCACATTAACTCTGCCCTAAATCTAACAAAATCACTTTTGCTCAATTACACTAACACCTTCACGCAACACTGACTACCAAAACATTGTGAACACCTGATGGTACGAGAAACGACTCCTCCCGCTGGCAGCTGTCACATTTAAAGAAGACGTATTGTGCTTTTGTCTGTTATAATGACAACCATGGATTATTATGTTATACTTTAGACATTATAAATCATAGTACTGATCTAAAAAGAACAATGAGGTTTTAGGAGCTGATTCCTTCCTGTTATTGTGGGCTGCTGTATCGATATATCACCAAGAGGATTTCTTTTTGGCATTTCTCAGCAATTTTTTTGTGACTATATTACAATTTTGTTGACATATTCACTGTGTTAATGATAAAAATAGATGTATTTCATATTAACTTTGCACAAGTAGTGGTTTAACAAAGAAATACTGTACTGCATTGTTTCCCAAAGACTGGGTTCTGAGCTTCAGGTGGGTCACAAGAGATTTTTTGGGGATCGCCTTGTCACAATCTGCATGTAGGTCTATAATATACAGTTCTGACAATGATCTGTGTGTTGTGCTCTCTTCCTGCACCCTGGACTAGAGTGCGCTACAAAAACGCAGACAGGTCCACCTATCTCATTAGAAATATTGAACTGTTAAGTTTTGTATAATTTCTAATCTTTTTGTGATTAATTTATTGACTATTTTGTTCCAGTATTGCTGGTTCAAAAAGAAATGGGCTACACTAAATGTCCAAATAGGCGACTTATGGATCCTTGCTGGTTTAGTTACTGTTTTTCATTGTTTAAAACTCAGTCAACAATAAAATATCCTCATTAATGTTCAATAATGGTCAAATCCACCTTTATTTTGTGATTTACGAATAATGTCTATTGACTTGGGTCATGAAGGTTGTGACCAGAAAAAAGTTGGGGAAACACTGCTGTACTGTACTGTATAGTGTATAAAAAGTATTTGGGTCTTAAAAAACAGCAATATATCATGGGCAATATAACGATTATCACATTTATTGCCATACCATGATATCGTATTGTGAGCCATGTATCATATCAAATCGTGAGGGATCTCTGTGAATCCAAGATCTATATCACACTAAGTAATAAGTAAATTAAAATTGGAGAACAAATTTAAGTACAGAGCAGAGGACGTGTACTCGTGGTGAAAACAAAGCAAGATCGGAACAATCTTGTCTTGAATCCAGAAGAATAAAAATTACTCAAACATGCATGAATCACTCAATACAACTTCATGTGGGTAAATGAGAATGGAAAACAGTTATCACTTATAGCTCTGAAAAGTTGATTTTGCACAGTAGGTCTTCCTTTACAATGCCTTTTCCACATAAATTCACTTTATGCACCCTCTGTACTCAGAATACTGCACAAAGGTAATAAAATCCTAGCTTACAGTTAATGCTCTCAAACCCCACTTTAGCCTTGTTCCTTATGGGCACTGTTCAAGTCTATCCGTATTCTCCTCCATTATCTGTGGCAAATTTCCCAAGTGGCCCACCCAAAGTTTACTTTCAGAAGCATTACCTCGCTGTACTACCAATACTTTTATCTGCTTTGGCTTTCAGAAGGATCCTTAAAGTGAGTGGGGATGACGGGAGCCTGATGCGCCTCTACATCACGAGAGCGGAGCCGAGACAAATAGGACGCGTCTAGTCATAATTTGAGCAAGAAATGTCAAATCTGAAGTAGTGAAATATGCGCCGGAGAAAGTTGGTGGTGGAGTTTGATCTACTGAAACTGTGAAGAGGTTTTCATTAGCAGTTATTCAACGGGATCTCATCCGCTCATACGTCAGCTGTCCATATAAAGCTGACACTGGTAAAAATCTTATTTAAAGGGGCTAGATCAGGGGTCGGCAACCTCAAATACTCAAAGAGCCATTTGGAGCGTCTCCCACAGAATAGAAAACACCCGGCGCCATAAAACCCTTTTGACATCTAAAGTGAGGACAACGCTACATATTATTGTTTTATCTATATGCTCTGTATAAAAGACTATGTTGTGTTGCATTTATGACATCAATGAAATGCTACAGAGAATATATGTCCATTTATATATACGGTCTGTGCGTATGATCTGCAGATCTCTGAAAAATTTTACATGAACCATCTCCAACGCGATAGAAACACAGAACAGACTCACCATCAGCAGCACGTCCTCTGTCACAGAAAGAACACATGTCCTTTAGTCTGACAGAAGCTGACAGCGCTTGTAGTTTTATGCAAATTATCCGTGTGGTTTTAAGTTTTGTTTCTATAAAACGTAAACAAATGTGTGCAAAACTGAATTAAACGCAGTATTACTCAATGTATATTTGAGTCCTCCTCATAGGAAATAAAAATCTAAACTTAAATTATCCACCCGCAGAGAACAAAAAATAAAAATATATTGAATGTTACAAGAATACCATTATCTACAAATTAAAATTACATTAAAAAACAAACAGACTAAAAAAAATAAATAAATAAAAAAACATTGTAATACAGTACTCATTATTTTCCAAAGTCACAGGAGCCACAACAGAAGGATGAAAGAGCCACAGGTTGCCGACCCCTGGGCTAGATCATGCAGTATTCTGTGTTTTTTAGAAATCTTTGGTCATCTATAAGCATTGGTTCTTAGTTTTAAAAAGCAAAAAGTAATTCCGTCTTGACTTCAGAGCTTGGGAAAAGCCATGGGGCCCTCCACCAGGCCAAATAACACTCAGGTTTGTGTAAGTTAGTGTAGTGCAGAGGTCTCCAAACTTTTTCCTCCGGTGAGCTGCATTTACACAACAAAATGTCATGGTTCATGTTTTGTAGTGGTTGTAATTTGTGTTTTATTTTGACATTTGTTTTGTCTGCTTGTAGTTCTGAGTTTTACTTCCTGATTGTTTGCCCCGCTCTAA